TGGGTAAATGGTGTGCCACTAGTTGACAAAGAATATCAGAGGAAATGTGAGTGGATCATGCGCAGCTTGCGCCTGCGGAACTGCGGATCCCGGTTCTGAGAGGGCTTGGGGCTGCTTCCTTTGAATGACCGGGAAGGCTGTCGGTGTGTAGCGTTCCTGCAAAACTGCTTCCACAGAAAGGGACCTTCGGGAAATTTCTCTGGACACCGCTGAAATTAACAAACCTAGTGCCCCTGGGCCTTTCCAGTTTTCCTGGCAGGTGGATTTCGAGGCAACATGTCTTCTTCAATGAAAGAATGCCTGCAGCTTCAGCTGCTAGAGATGGAAATGCTGTTTTCTATGTTTCCTAACCAAGGAGAAGTAAAACTTGAAGATGTAAATGTCCTGACGAATATAAAGCGATATTTGGAAGGCACAAGGGAGGCGCTGCCGCCAAAAATCGAATTTGTGATTACCCTCCAGATGGAGAAACCCAAGGTGAAAATTGATTTGCAAGTAACCATGCCTCACAGCTACCCCTATGCAGCATTGCAGCTATTTGGACGGTCGTCTGAGCTTGACAGACAACAGCAACTACTTCTCAACAAAGGTCTCACTTCTTATATAGGGACTTTTGATCCAGGTGAGCTCTGTGTTTGTGCGGCAATCCAGTGGTTGCAGGACAATAGTGCCTCCTATTTCCTGAACAGAAAGCTTGTTTACGAACCATCTACACAAGCAAAGCCAGTCAAGAACACATTCCTCCGAATGTGGATCTACAGTCACCACATATATCAGCAGGACCTAAGAAAAAAGATTTTGGATGTCGGGAAAAGGTTAGACGTGACTGGATTTTGCATGACAGGAAAGCCGGGTATAATCTGTGTGGAGGGCTTCAAAGAGCACTGTGAGGAATTCTGGCACACAATTAGGTATCCCAACTGGAAACACATTTCCTATAAGCATGCTGAAAGTGTCGAAACCGAAGGAAATGGAGAGGATCTGCGCCTTTTCCATTCTTTCGAAGAATTACTCCTTGAGGCCCATGGTGACTATGGATTAAGGAATGACTATCACATGAATCTGGGCCAATTCTTAGAATTTCTAAAAAAACACAAAAGTGAGCATGTGTTCCAGATACTATTTGGTATTGAAAGTAAAAGTTCAGACTCCTAGGAAGCTTAATTAAGAGGCCTATGCTTATAATTTCACTAAGGCAGTATTTCTGTTAATAAGACCAAAATAAAAGGGCCAGTGGCTGTTTAGCATCCTCTGTGAGACAACTAGCCCCCAAATTTTTACCTGGTAATGAAACACAAAGGCCTTTTAACTTTATAACAGTGCAATTGTGATGTTATCTCCATGTTCTTGTGTTAACTGAAAACTAAGTGTAAATTAATAAAAACAGTCAATTTAAAAAAAAAAGAATGGAAATGTGGAGGGAAGGCATACAGAGGCTACTGTTTTATAGGTATTGAATTTGAGGCACACACTGGACATCCAGGTAGAGATCTTGCAGGCAGACAGACACAGAGAGAGAGAGACTAGAACCCAGAGATTTTTTTTTTAAGATTTTATTTATTTATTTGAGAGAGAGAGAATGGAAGAGAGAGAGCATGAGAGGGGGGAGAGTCAGAGGGTAAAGCAGACTCCCTGCTGAGCAGGGAGCCTGATGCGGAACTCGATCCCGGGACTCCAGGATCATGACCTGAGCCGAAGGCAGTTGCTTAACCAACTGAGCCACCCAGGCGCCCTAGAACCCAGAGATATTAAACACTATCTTCAGTGAGATATCATGATTAAGAGAAGGGTTTTTTTTTTGAAGAATAAGACTATTGCTAGGTTGGGGAAGTCACAGAAGCTTCAAGAAAGTGAATAATTGATGGAGGAAGGTCCTCAGGGAGACTACAGAGAAAGGATTTTAGGTACAATGTAAAAGGATGGCTTAAAAATACTGGGGAGAAGGGCGCCTGGCTGGCTCAGTCAGTGGAACCTGGAACTCTTGACCTCAGGGTCATGAGTTCAAGCCCCAGGTTGGGTGTAGAGTTTACTTAAAAAAAACAAACAAAAAAACAGGGATATCTGGGTGACTCAGTCAGTTAAGCGTCTGCATTTGGCTCAGATCATGATCCCAAGGTCCTGGGATCCAGCCCTATGTTGGGCTCCCTGCTGGGCGGGGAGTCAGCTTCTCTGTCTCCCTCTGCCCCTCCCCCCGCTCCTGCTCTCTCTCACTCTCTCTCTCAAATAAATAGAAAATCTTTAAAAAAACAACAAACAAGGGTGCCTGAGTGGCTCAGTTGGTTAAGCGACTGCCTTTGGCTCAGGTCATGATCCTGGAGTCCCAGGATCGAGTCCCACATCAGGCTCCCTGCTCGTTGGGGAGTCTGCTTCTCCCTCTGACCCTCCCCCCTCTCATGCTCTCTCTCACTCTCTCTCTCATTGTCTCAAGTAAATAAAATCTTAAAAAAAAAACAACAAATAAAACAAAACAAAAAATTAAAAAATAATAATAATGGAAAGAGATGAAAACATATGTCCACACAAAGAATTACATGGTTTGGCTTTACACATGATAGCCAAAAACTGGGAACAACTCAATTGTGAATCAAGAGATGAATGAATAAATGAATAAATGAATAAGCAAAGTCGGCATAGCCATATAACAAAATACCATGGAGCAATAAAAAGGAACTACTGATACAAACAACATGGACGAATCTCATTATTTTGAATGAAAAGATCCAGATACAAAAAGGCACACACCGGGGTGCCTGGGTGGCTCAGTCGTTAAGCATCTGCCTCCGGCTCAGGTCATGATCCCAGGGTCCTGGGATTGAGCCCCACATTGGGATTCCTGCTCGGCGGGAAGCCTGCTTCTCCCTCTCCCACTCCCCCTGCTTATGTTCCCTCTCTTGCTGTGTCTATCTCTGTCAAACAAATAAATAAAATCTTGAAAAAAAAAAGAATGTGGCTTTAAAAAAAAAAAAGGCACACGGGGCGCCTGGGTGGCTCAGTTGGTTAAGCAACTGCCTTCGGCTCAGGTCATGATCCTGGAGTCCCAAGATCGAGTCCCGCATCGGTCTCCCTGCTCAGCAGGGAGTCTGCTTCTCCCTCTGACCCTCCCCCCTCTCATGTGCTCGCTCTCTCTCATTCTCTCAAATAAATAAATAAATAAAATCTTTAAAAAAAAGGCACACACCATGTGATTCCAGTTATATGAAATTTTAGAATAGATTATTTCATCTATAATGATAGAAGGTAGATCAGTGGATGTGTAGGGTCAGGAAATTGACAGAAGCGGGGCAGAAAGCTGTAGGGTTCCTGCTTATGGTATCCTCATTTAGTCTTGTGTGCTCCTCACTGAATGGCAATACCTTCATTGATTCTCTTTGGATGGACCTGTTCCTTATAAATATACGTCTAATTATGCTTATTTAACTGAAATGATGATGACGATGATGACTAACATTCACTAAGTTCTTCCTGTGTGCTCGGCAATAGGCTAAGCACTCATACAATCTGTACAACACTCCAATGAAGTTGGTACTATTACTATCTCCTTTTTTAAAAAAGATTTTATTTATTTGAGAGAGAGAGAGAGAGAGACGGAAAGCGCACGTGCAGAGACAGGAGCGCATGAGCTGGGGAGGGGCAGAGCGGCAACCAGACTTCCCTGCTGAGCAGGAGCCTGATGCTGCTAGATCCCAGGATCCTGAGATCATGACCTGAGCTGAAGACAGACACTAAACCCACCAAGCCACCCAGGCACCCCTCTCCTTTTTTTTTTTTAAATTTATTTATTTTTTTAGTAATCTCTACATCCAATGTGGGGCTCAAACTCACAGCCCTGAGATCAAGAGTTGCATGTCTTTCTCACTGAGCCAGTCAGACACCCCTACCATCCCTTTTTTTAAACAAACATGAAAAAACTAAAGCTGAAAGAGATTGATTAACTTGCTCAGGATCTCATAGTTTGTCTAACAACCTTGACACTAAAACTTCATGGTCTTAACCATGACATAAGACTTACAATGGTACAAGCTATCTACTGGTTGGCATTTAAAAGAGATCCACATGTTCAGAGAGCCTTTGGCTCATGTGCTTCTTGTTAGCCACTCAAGCTTTATCTGCCCCAGCATCTTCCCTACCTCGTTGGAGCAACCTGCACTCGCTGGGCTTCCATCCCAAGTCCAAGTCAAAATGTCCTAAAATCCTCCAGCTGTCAAACAGTACTTATCCCAGTTATGACTCCCAGCTCTGAGGTTATTTCCCCCATGCTCTCTCCAGTGACTACCTACCTAACATGTTATTCCTATCTTCCCAGTTTCTTCTCTTCCCTCACCAACCCCTCCAAAGCCTTGTTTTTGTTTGAGAACTGGAACCCAAACCAATTTCTCTTACTTATGCACTAGGAATACTTTTTCATTATCCATTAAATCGAAACAAGAACCCAAGGAACATCCTCAGCATAGAAGTGCTGAATCATATCAAGTCACTGAGAAAGAAGAGCAGGCAAACAGAATGCATGGATCGGGTGAGGCCTGTCCTCCACAGCTCCTATGATTGCACACACTAAAACCAACACAAATGCCTGAATAGATCATATTAGCATCCTCAAAATTAAGGGAAGTAGGGGTGCCTGGGTGGCTCAGATGGTTGGGTGTCTGCCTTCAGCTCAGGTCACGATCCCAGGGGCCTGCCCAGAGTAGGGCTCCCTGCTCAGAGGGGAGTCTGCTTCTCCCTCTCCTTCTTCCATTCCCACTGCTTGTGCTCTCTGGCTCTGTCAAATAAATAAATAAAATCTTAAAAAAAAAATTTAGGGGAAGTACACTATGAGCAAATATGTATTTAGCAAGTTCTTCCAATGGTGAAACAAAAAAGTATATTTTTCAGTTTTGTTTTGTTTGGCACTGACCCTATTTGTCACCGGGAGTTCCGCATTTCTCAAAGCCTTGACCCGTCCACACGCATTCACATATCAAAAATTAGAGATGATTACATTAACATAGCAGTCCACTTACTTTCACAAAGGAAACTCTGAACACGAAGCGTTTTGCAAGGTAGGTTACTGGAACCATTCCAACTGTGTCAACAGCTTCTCGAAGTTGGGCTGCCACAGCGGTTTCACATCCAAACTGTGACTCTGAAAAACAACGTATCCTAGTAAGTACGAAATCCTACAATTCGAACTGGCAGAAGTAATTCTCTCTGGCAGACTCCTACGGTAACTTTAGTTGGAAGTCTGTTTGGGGTGGCTGGAAGAGAATTAGCCTGAAAGGCAACATCTCTGAAACAATTTTGCCGTCAACCCTGATGTTGTCTTGGGGACTACGGACTCAAGGAGCAGGGCTGGGAACAGCTGGTAAAAGGGTTTCCGCCCAGGGTCTCAGTAACTTTAAAAGTGCTGCCCAACAGCTAGTAGTGTCCTCAAGGGGCCGTGAGCGTCAAACCGCTTCCTGGGAGGCGGGTCTCGTCTTTATGGATTTGGAAAGAGAAGTCCTGCAGAATGGAAAACTTCCTCCTCCGACCCCCCCACCTCCGCCAAGCTCAAGTAGCCTCTACAAAGGGATTTTTTTTTTTTTCCCCAAGGTGAATCACCTGTTCAGAGGGCCAGAGGAAAAATTACCGAGGATTTGGTTCCACAGAAAGATGCAAAAAGGGCGTCTGGGTGGCTCAGATGGTTAAGCGTCTGCCTTCGGCTCAGGTCATGATCCCAGGGTCCTCGGATCGAGTCCCGCATGGGGCTCCCTGCTTAGCGGGGAGCCTGCTTCTCCCTCTGCCAATCTCTCTCTCTGTCTCTTATGAATAAATAAAATCTTTAAAAAAAGAAAGAAAGATGGAAAGAATGAAGGGGCAAGACTCCTTGCCCCAAACTGGAATATGACCTTGCCTCGGGGACCGTTATATCTGCCTCTCAAAGGCTCCACCATCTTGGACTGCCCCATGCTTGCAACAGAGTCCTGCGCTGACTCCCCTAGAGACTGGTTTCTCAGGGGGTTCGGGCCAGAGGGCTTACCACGTCCTCAAAGTCGACCGGCCCGAGGCCCGCCGGAGACGACCCGCAGCCCGGACGCCAGACGGGGAACACCCCTGGCTACATTCTCATTGGCTCCTGGAGGCCGGAAGTGCCTGTGTCCGGCGGAAGTACTCCTACTGTGAGCGTCGGCCAGGCCCGGAGCTTCAGGTAGGCGGGGCCCCTGGCCCCGAACTCTGGGACCAAGTCTGTGGCACGGGCGGAGGGGGGACCCCGAGGGCCCCAGGAGGTTGTCTGGGTTTTGGTCTGGGAGGGCTGGAAGAGTTTCGGGGGCAGGGGCTCGTGGCGACCTCTGGTGGCAGCCGGGGCCTAGTGGAGCCCGGCCACCGCAGGACCCAAGTGCGGGAGCTCCAAGTTCCCCCGTGGAGACGGGGTTTGGGACGGTGGCCCGAGCTGCTCCGTGTCGCGTCCCGATGCTTGAGGTCCTTCGCTGCTCACGTCCAGCCGGGAAAAACGTGTGCTCTCCGCCCTTATCGGTGCTTCTGGCTTTGACAGCCGCGCTCCGGACACGCGGGGGTGCAGGGCTTTCCCCAGGAACACCCGCCGCATCGCTAGGGGACACCTCAGCAAGGCTGCCCGAGGCGCTGTCAAGAGAGAAAACGTTTTCTGCCCCTCCTCGCCCCGCTCCCCTCTCTCCCATGGTGTCTCCCTAAAAAGAGAAGGGTGTGTGTCAGATGCAGGCTGCTCAGGTGGGAGTTATCTGGCCTGCTCTCGGCTAGTTTCTGTAAAGTCAGTGAAACTACTTGTTAATGATTCCCTATTTCCCAGCCAACTCCACCTTTAAGTGGTTTGAATTTTGAGCCTCTTGTAGTCCTGATGAACAGTTTCGCTTTCCTCAAGTTTATGACACTTGGAACTTCAGCAGTTGGAGGTTTATGCACTTTGGGACCGGCCAAGAGTGTGCAGAGTGTAAAGTACTAAGGGGCAAGGTGAGCATGAATGAGTACATCTTCCGCTCCAGATGACAGTTTTTGAGTGCTGTTCGGCAGTTTCGGTGAAAGCTGCACCGCCTTTATTGGATACTAGGTGGTGCCAGCGAGTTAATCTTTCTGGGATAAATTTCAAATAACGGGCAGCACCAGGTTAACGCTTTCAAAGTGCCCCAACTTCCCTGAAATTTATTTAAAATAGTCTTACCTCCTTTAAAATATCTGGTGCCTTTATACGCTGTATCCAGTTATCAAATACCTATTCTCTCTTAAGTGCTGAGCATGCTAAAAGAGGAATCAGACTCATTTTCTCCTCTCCCAGAGTTTATAGTCTGGAGAGAAAGACCAGTAAACAATGTGCTATAATGAAATCACATATAATTTAAGGAAGAAATGAGTACTAAATAGAGAATAAGATGTGAAATGCCGTGGAAGAAGCAATCAGTTCTCATTATTCATTTACCAATTACTTACCCAGTATTTTCTGTCTGCCTAACGTTATGCTGGATGCTGATGCATAAAGAAAAAGTAGGGGCACCTGGGTGGCTTAGTCGGTTAAGCATCTGCCTTGGGCTTAGGTCATGATCCCGGGGTCGTGGGATCAAGCCCTGTCAGGCTCCCTGCTGAGCAGCTTCTCCCTCTCCCTCTCACCCCGCCCCCAGCTCCTGCGATCACGTGTGTGTGCGCTCTCTCTCTCGCTCTCACTATCTCAAATGAATAAATCTTTTTTTTCCCCAAAATTTTATTTATTTATTTGACAGAGAGAGACAGCGAGAGAGGGAACACAAGCAGGGGGAGCGGCAGAGGGAGAAGCAGGCTCCCCGCTGAGCAGGGAGCCTGATGCGGGGCTCGATCCCAGGACCCTGGGATCATGACCCGAGCCGGAGGCAGACGCTTAACGACTGAGCCACTCAGGTGCCCCGAATAAATAAAATCTTAAAAAAAAAAAAAAATCCCTGCTCACAATTTAGTGATTGGGAGGGAACCAAGTAAGACATGGAGAAACTGAACCTTGAGCTAGACCTTGAAGAATGGATTACGTGGGCTTGGTAGGTTGGAAAATAAAAAAAAAACTGGCTCAGAAGAGAAGGATGAGAGTGCGTGGCACGTTTTGAAACAGCAAGTTGTTCTTGCTTCGGCTGCACATACACCAAAATTGAAACAGCACATAGTTTAGCGTGGTTAGACTGTAGGACATTGAGCCTGAAAAGACACTGTCCGTTTTAGGTTTGGCTTTACTTTTACTGGAGAATTCAGCAGAAATAAAATCAAGTTTAATTGTATGTGTCCCAGGAGAAATTATACATGAAGCATAGCTGTAATAAATTATGTGCAATAAATTACACTTCTGGCTAACCTATTATACATGAAATTACACTTTTGGCTATAATTAGCTCATTTGTATTTACATATCATTAATCATTGTAGATAAGCCAATTTTAAAAGATACAGTAGTAAGAATAGATTTTCACTGATTACACTCTATTTTGAGTGTAATGTAAGGAATCCTCTTCATTGAAGTTCACATATCAGATCATCTGGTAATGATTATGTGTAGGAAAATTTTAAATGCTTTAATAAGTTATCCTAGGATTTAGGGTTTTTGTTTTGGTTTGGTTTGGTTTTTGGTTTTTTAAATTTTTGTTTAAGTAATCTCTACACCCAACATGGGGCTCGAACTCACTATCCCAAGATCAAGAGTTGCGTGCTCCACTGACTGAGCCAGCAGGCGCCCCAGGGTTTAGGTTTTTTTTTTTTTTTTTAAAGACTTTATTTATTTGAGAGAGCGAGCATGAGAGGGGGGAGGGTCAGAGGGAGAAGCAGACTCCCTGCTGAGCAGGGAGCCCGATGCGGGACTCGATCCTGGGACTCCAGGATCATGACCTGAGCTGAAGTCAGTCGCTTAACCAACTGAGCCACCCAGGCTCCCAGGGTTTAGGTTTTAATGAATGGTTGTATCTAATATTAAGCAAAATGTGTTTCCTGAAAGGAATGTAAGTTTAATTTTTATAAATGAAAAAACTTAAATGCTATAAATGTTAAGGTAAATGCATATAATATCAACATGCCAAAATCAGTAACTTTTCTCTACACTAGCAATAATCAGAAATTTTTGTTTTTACGTAAACTCTATGCCCAACATGGGACTGGAACTCACAACCCCAAGATCAAGGGTTGCATGCTCCACCGACTGAGCCAGCCGGGTGCCCCACAATAATCAGAAATTGTAATAACAAAAAGTCTATTCCCAATATTAACAAAAAATACAAAATGTCTTAGAATAGCCAATGTTCAAGACCTTTGTGAATAAAACAATACCTTTTAAATTAAAGATCATGAAAGAAAGCTGAGATAAATGGAGTGATATATTGCTTAATAGGAAGATTCAAATTTCAAGGATACAGATCTTCTCATATTAGTCTCTAATTTTAATGTAATCCCTGTCAAAATTTCAATCGCTTTTTTTTTTTTTTTTAGATTTTATTTATTTGAGAGAGAGAGATCACGAGCAGGGGGGAAGGGTAGAGGGAGAAGCAGACTCCCCGCTGAGCAGGGAGCCCAATGTGGTACTCGATCCCAGGACCCTGGGATCATGACCTGAGCAGAAGGCAGACGCTTAACCAGCTGAGCCACCCAGGCGCCCCTCAGTTGCATTTTTAAGGGAACTTGACAAGCTGATTCTTTAGTTCATCCAGAAGAGAAAATGCATGAATAGCAAGAGTTATGGGGGGGAAAATTCTGTAATAATAAAGGCAACTCCTTATCAGTTATCAATGTACACCAGCTCTGCTGCTAACAATTACAATAGCAAGGTAATGTCTTAGGACCCGAACATTATCAGTGAAATTGACTTGAGTCTGTTTCTATTGAATCTATATTAAAAGTGGCATGGGGCACCCATGTTGGCTCAGTTGATTAAGCGTCCGACTCAATCTCAGCTCAGGTCTCGATATCATGGTTGTGAGTTCAAGCCACGTGTTGGGCCCCATGCTGGACATGGAGCCTATTTAAAACAAACAAACCAATAAAAGTGGCATAAGTACTGACTAGTAAACAGTGTTGGGGCAACTGGCTCCCCATTTGAAAGAAAGTAAAAGTTAGACTCCTATTTTACAGCATTAACAAAAAAAAGTTGCAGGTAGCTTAACTGAATGTAAAAAGAGAAAAATTTATGTAAGTCTTAGAATATAATATATATATATTTTTAAATCTTAAGATGGTTAGGGCCTGCCTTCATGGGACATAAAACTAAAAAGCCTTAAAGAAGAAGACAGATTTGGCCATTAAAAATAATTTTTTTTAAAGATTTTATTTATTTATTTGAGAGAGAGAGAATGAGAGATAGAGAGCACGAGAGGGAAGAGAGTCAGAGGGAGAAGCAGACTCCCCGCCGAGCAGGGAGCCCGATGCGGGACTCGATCCCAGGACTCCAGGATCATGACCTGAGCCGAAGGCAGTCGCTTAACCAACTGAGCCACCCAGGCGCCCCAAAAATAATAATTTATTGTGGGGCGCCTGGGTGGCTCAGTCAGAGTCTGCCTTCAGCTCAGGTCATGATCTCAGGGTCTTGGAATCAGTCCTGCATCGGGCTCCCTGCTCAGCGGGGAGCCTGCTTCTCCTTCTCCCTCTGCCTCTGCCTCTCCCCCTGCTTTGCTTTCTCGCTCTCAAATAAATAAAATCTTTTTTTAAAAAAGTAAAAATAATAATTTATCATGACAAAAAACAACATTAAGTGAAATTTAAAGTCAAGAGACAAGGGAAGGGTGCCTGGGTGACTCAGTCGTTGAGCGTCTGCCTTTGGCTTAGGTCATGATTTCAGGGTCCTGGGATCAAGCCCCGCATTGGGCTCCCTGCTCCGCAGGAAGCCTGCTTCTCCCTCTCCCACTCCCCCTGCTTGCGTTCCCTCTCTCGCTGTGTCTCTCTCTGTCAAATAAATAAGTAAAATCTTAAAAAAAAAAGACATAATATTTGCAACATAACTACAAAGGCTTCATACTCCTATAAATCAGTAAGAGAAAGATAATCCAGTAGAAACATGGGCACATTTCCAAAGAAGAAATTCATATCAAAAGTTGTTAATGCCCATAAGTCAGGTAAATGCACATAAAACCAACAAGATAAGGCTAAGAGTGTTCTGAGTCCTGGAGAGTACTTAGTAAGAATGAAAAAGAATGTTATAAAAATCTTTTTGTAACACAAAGTCACACCTGATCTATTTCTTTTTTCTTTTTTTTTTAAGATTTTATTTATTTATTTGAGAGAGAGAATGAGAGCACGAGAGGGAAGAGGGTCAGAGGGAGAAGCAGACTCCCCGCCGAGCAGGGAGCCCGATGTGGGACTCGATCCCGGGACTCCAGGATCATGACCTGGGCCAAAGGCAGTCGCTTAACCAACTGAGCCACCCAGGCGCCCACACCTGATCTATTTCTTTATAAAATTGTGTTTCCAATTCATTTAAAGTAAGATGGACCAATAGTGAAGATTTCTTTCTTTTTTTTTAAAAGATTTTATTTATTTATCAGAGAGAAAGAGAACACAAGCCAGGGTAGCTGCAGGCAGAGGGAGAAGGAGAAGCAGGCTCCCCGCTGAGCAAGGAGCCCAGTGCGGGCTCGGTCCCAGGACCCTGGGATCATAACCTGAGCTGAAGGCAGCCGCTTAACCAACTGAGCCACCCAGGCGTCCCAATAGTAAGATTTCTTTTTTTTTTTTTAAAGATTTTATTTATTTATTTGAGAGAGAGAACGAGAGATAGAAAGCACGAGAGGGAAGAGGGTCAGAGGGAGAAGCAGACTCCCTGCTGAGCAGGAAGCCCGATGTGGGACTCGATTCCGGGACTCCAGGATCATGACCTGAGCCAAAGGCAGTCGCTTAACCAACTGAGCCACCCAGGCGCCCCAATAGTAAGATTTCTAATTAACTTGTCAAGTCAGGAAGACTGCCAGGCATTTTTGTGGGGTTTTACTAGTATGTGAGTTTAAACTTTTATATGTAAAATGAAATTCTCTTTGCACAACTGTCTTTCCCACACCTGTAGCTCAGAAAGAGTATAGCCCATTTTAAATTGTACTGGTATGTTGAATCATTTCAAATAACCAAATAATACTATATGTGGGCTTATTGTTCTACTTAGAGATCAAAATGGCTTCCAGAGGAAAGACAGAGACAAGCAAATTAAAGCAGAATTTAGAAGAACAGTTGGATAGACTAATGCAGCAATTACAAGATCTGGAGGAATGCAGGTAATAGTATAACTGCTGCTCTGCTGTCAAGTGGCTTTTTTCTGCAGCTAGATTCCCAGCCGTGGGTGCAGGCCCATGTGTGATTTTGGTTTCGCCTGTAGTGTTCTTCTCAGTGCTTTGTCTGTTGGAGAAATAAAAGTGCAAGCTTTGGAGTCATAAAAGTAAGCCCCTTAAGTTTCCATTTCCTTGAGTGTGAAGTAGAAATAGTAACACCTACCTTGTCTTCAGTATTTAAAATGGCCCTGCCTGGAATGTACTTGAACTTCTGTAGTGTATTTTCAGCCTTAACCATTCAAAGGATCAAAACTGTTCATTGCCTTTTTTAACAACTTTGAAAGGTTGTTGTAGGTATTTCAAATGAAGAGTAGGCTTGGCCCAGAGTAGGTGCTCAGTAAATGGTAGCTGTCATTATTTGTAGTAAATGTTTAATAAATGGCTTGTTCAATCAGTGACTAAAAATAGCCTCTTAGCTAACTGAACATAATAAAAGAAACTAGCCTCGTGCTCAGATGACAGGTACTACATTGCTGTTGTATTTCACGATGGACAAAATTTTACCTACCATTAATGATGGTGATAAAAGTGACAACTATTTTGTCAAGTACCTATTGTTTGTCAGGGACTTTCTGTAGTTTATGTAATGTTCATAGCAACCCTATAAGGTAGGTACTGTCATTATCTGTGGCTTGTAGATCAAGAAACTGAGGCTTGGCTGTGTTAAGTATCTTGCCCATGGTTATGAATCGATTCATAGACTGCTTAAGAGGAAGTTATTATGTGGTTTGTTAAGTGTGCCTCACTTTGGTAAAAGAAAAATGTTTAATTATCAAAGTAACCACATTGCAGGAAAACACCCATATTACTAACATCTGAACACATCTATTGTTAGCATTTTGTCATTTCCTTTCAGCCTTGTCCCCCCAGATATTTTTTGTAAATATATGTATCTGAAGTCTTAGAGTACAAATATTAAGATTGCTTTTTTCACTTGGAACTCTTGTGTTTTTCTATATTATGTTCACTGTACTTCAGAGAGGAACTTGATACAGATGAATATGAAGAAACCAAAAAGGAAACTCTGGAGCAACTAAGTGAATTTAATGATTCACTGAAGAAAATTATGTCTGGAAATATGACTTTGGTAGATGAGCTAAGTGGAATGCAACTGGTAAGCATAATTTACGTACGCTGGTGACACAGGTGGTTTTTCTCTCTTTTTTTTATAAGTATATTTAAGATAGAAGAGAAACCCTGTCCCAGGCAGCCAGCATTCATTGTACAAGTTTCCCCTTTGGAAAACGGTGTGTGGGTGTTCAGTTCTGTGTCTGGTGTATATGAACAGACCGTAAATCTCCCTGTGATCTGTGGTAGCTGTGAGGCAGCTCTGGAACGTGAAGAGCTGTTTGGTTTGAACCTTGAAGAAAACTGTTTTGAGTTTAGCTGAGATTAAAGAAAAGTTCATCAAGTGACTGTTAATGTACACCTGGTTATTAAAATAACTATGAAATTAAAAAAAAGAAAAGAAAAGAAACCCTGTTTGGGGGTTTGACTTCTAGATGAATGTCTGCTTATAGATAAAGCAGCATAAGCTTCCAGATCTTCATTTAGTTATGTATTTGGCTCCAATGACATGCACAGAAATAGCAAATGGAAACTAAATTTTTTTTTTAATTTAAATTTTAGGTAGTTAACACACAGTGCAATGTTGGTTTCTGGAGTAAAATTCAGTGATTCATCACTTACATACAATACCCAGTGCTTATCCCAGCAAGTGCCCTCCTTAGTGCCCATCACCCATCTAGCCCATCCCCCACCCACCTCCCTCCATCAACCCTGTTTGTTCTTTATCGTTAAGAATCTCTTATGGTGGGCGCCTGGGTGGCTCAGTTGGTTAAGCGACTGCCTTCGGCTCAAGTCATGATCCTGGAGTCCTGGGATCGAGTCCCGCATCGGGCTCCCTGCTCAGCGAGTCTACTTCACCCTCTGACCCTCTTCCGTCTCGTGCTCTCTATTTCTCATTCTCTCTCTTTCAAATAAATAAATAAAAAGCTTTAAAAAAAAAAAAGAATCTCTTATGGATTGTTTCCCTCTCTCCTTTTTTTCTTTCCCCCTTCCCATATATTCCTCTGTTTTCTTTCTTAAATTCCACATATGAGTGAGATCATATGGTATTTGTCTTTCTCTGACTGACTTATTTCACTTAGCATTAATACTCTCTAGCTCCACCCACATCATCGCAGATGGTAAGATTTCATTCTTTTTCATGGCTGAGTAGTATTCCATTGTAGGGGGGTGGTGTGTTTACAACATACAGCATAAGTTGTAAATTATGCTTACACACACCACCCACATCCTTTTTTTCCATTCATCAGTCAGTGGATATTTGGGTCTCTCCACAGTTTGGCTATTGTTGCTAATGCTGCTATAAACATCAGGGTGCATGTATTCCTTTGAATCTGTATTTTTGTGTCCTTTGGGTACATACCTAGTAGTTGCAATTGCTGGATCGTAGGGTAGTTCTATTTTTAACATTTTGAGGAACCTCCATACTGTTCTCGAGAGTTGCTGTACCAGTTTGCATTCCCACCAACAATGCAAGAGGGTTCCCCTTTCTCTACATCCCCACCAACATCTGTTGTTTCTTTTTTTTTTTTAAGATTTTATTTATTTATTTGTCAGAGACAGAGAGAGCACAAGCAGGAGGAGTGGCAGGCCGAGGAAGAAGCAGGCTCCCTGCCTAGCAGGGAGCCCAATGCGGGACTCGATCCCAGGACCCTGGGATCATGACCTGAGCCGAAGGCAGACGCTTAACGACTGAGCCACCCAGGCGTCCCCAACATCTGTTGTTTCTTGTGTTGTTAATTTTAGCCATTCTGACAGGTGTGAGACGGTATCTCATCATGGTTTTGATTTGTATTTCCCTGATGATGAGTAATGTTGAGCATCTTTTCATGTGTCTGTTAGCCATCTGGATGTCTTCTTTGGAATAGTGTCTATTCATGTCTTCTGCCCATTTCTTAACTGGGTTACTTGTTTTTTGGGTGTTGAATTTGTTAAGTTCTTTGTAGATTTTGGATACTAACCCTAATCAGATATATCGTTTGCAAATATCTTCTCCCATTCTGTAGGCTGCCTTTTACTTTTATTGATTGTTTCCTTTGCTGTGCAGCTTTTTATCTTGATGAAGTCCCAGTAGTTCATTTTTGCTTTTGTGGAAACTAAAATTATAACAGTGTTTGACGAACAGGGAAGACCTATTTGTAATTGAAGACTCATCAATCAATTATTATAATATTTGATTCATTGGAATATTTTGCTCAGTTTTTACCTTCTTGTATTCTAGGCTATCCAGGCAGCTATCAGCCAGGCCTTTAAAACCCCGGAGGTCATCAGGTTATTTGCAAAGAAACAACCAGGTCAGCTTCGGACAAGGTTAGCAGAGGTAAAGTTTCTTTAAATTGATTTATTTGCTGTGTGTATTTGTTTTCTCAGCTCCAGAATTTCATTATGTTATTCTGAAATTTAAAAATTGGTCAGTTGAGAATGTATAACACCACCAAGAGTGAACCCTAATGATGTATAGACTATGGAATTGGGGGATTATGATGTGTCAGGGTAGGTTTATCTGTTGTAACAAATGAACCATTCCGGTGGGACATATTTATCATGGGGAGGCTGTGCAGAAGTGGAGGTGAGGGGTATATGGGAAATCTTTGTACCTTTCACACAATTTACTGTGAACCTAAAACTGTTCTGAAAAATAGTCTGTTAGAAAAAAAATTGATCAGTTGATTTTTTTTTTTTAAAGATTTAATTTATTTATTTGAGAGAGAGAGAAGAAGTGGGGGGTAGGGAGAGGGAGCAGACTCCCCAGTGAGCAGGGAACCTGAAGCAGGGCTTGATCCCAGGACCGTGGGACCATGACCTGAGCCGAAGGCAGATGCTTAACCGACTGAGCCACCCAGGTGCCCCTGATTTTTTTTTTTTTTTAAGATTTATTTATTTATTTTAGAGAGAATGTGGGGAGCAGGAGAGGGAGAGAGAAACTTTAGTAGACTCCTCACTGAGCTTGGAGCCCAACACGGGACTTGATCCCATAACCCTCAGATCATGACCGGAGCTAAAACCAAGAGTCAGACCCTTAACTGACTGTGCCATACAGGGGCCCCTGATCAGTTGATTTTAGAGCCACAACCCATAGTTTTCTGACAAAGTTAGTCTTTTGAGCAATTATTATTGATAACGAATATGGAGGTTTAAAAAGCATATGACAGTTTATACTGCTACTAACTACTTCTACTTGGACCCTACCTTTAAGGTTTTACCATATACTTCTGGAGCCCTGAGTTGAAATTCCATCTAGAATCCATTAGCGGCATTGCTCTCTGCACATGTGGCCTTTGTCATCTAAGAATTTCAAACATCTCTATAAACCTGGTACTTGAGGAAATCTGTTAATAGGCTTTAATATAATTAAGACATTAACAGGTGATTTGCAACCACTGGTAATTCAGTAGCATAGTGGTTAAGAGCATGAACGTGGGTCAGACTGGCAGGATTTTTATCCCTGCTCTACCGTGAAGGTAGCTGACCTTGGGGAAATTATTATTTTTTTTTAAGTTTTTATTTATTTATTTAACAGAGAGACTGCAAGAGAGGGAACACAAGCAGGGGGAGTGGGAGAGGGAGAAGCAGGTTTCCCACCACCGAGCAGGGAGCCCGATGTGGGGCTCGGTCCCAGGATCCTGGGATCATGACCTAAGCCGAAGGCAGATGCTTAACGACTGAGCCACCCAGGTGCCCCTTGGGAAGTTATTTTTAATTGTTTTAGCACAATTAATAATATTTTTAACAAATATTATTATTGGAGTTGGATAAGTTATCTTATTCAACTTCTTTGTGCCTCAGTTCCCCATCTATAAAAAGGTGATACTGGTAGTCCCTACTTCTTAAGGTTGTTATGAAGAATAAATGAGGTAATATATGTAAAACACATACTGTGTATAATATGTAATACATGTAAAGTATGTGGAATAGTACCCAGGCTTAGTACATGCTATCAGTGTTTCTGATGATAGAGGTGATGATAACCAACATTCCTAGAGACATGATACTAGTTATCTCATTCAAGCCTATAGACCACACCTCAGTTTAAGGGAATGAGTTCTTAGAGGACAGCTTCTCTCTAAAGGAAGCTATTGACCTCCCAGTTCTCAGTAGAGTTTTTAATCAAGACAGTGGTTATGATTATCATTAAGGTTTATTAGAATTGGGGCGCCTGGGTGGCTCAGTCGGTTAAGCATCTGCCTTCGGCTCAGGTCATGATCCCAGGGTCCTGGGACCGAGCCCCGCATTGGGCTCCCTGCTCGGCGGGGAGCCTGCTTCTCCCTCTGCCTGCTGCAACCCCTGCTCGTGCTCTCTCTCTCTCTCTTTCTCAAATAAATAAATAAATCTTAAAAAAAAAAAAAAGATTTATTAGGATTGAGGGGCACCTGGCTGGCTCAGTCAGTGGCGCATGTGACTCCAGTTCTCGGGAGTTGTGAGTTTGAGCCCCATATTGGGTGTAGAGATTACTTAAGAAATAAAATCTTAAAAAAAAAAAAGATTTACTAAAGCTGTGTAAATTGTGTTGCTGGCATGTTTGCCTTGAATTTCTGTAGTTCTCTATATTAGTCCTCTAGAGGATCTTTTTTTTTTAATATTTATTTATTTATTTGACAGAGAGAGACACAGTGAGAAAGGGAACACAAGCAGGGGAGTGGAGGAGGGAGAAGCAGGCTTCCCGCTGAGCAGGGAGCCCAATGCGGGGCTTGATCCCAGGATACTGGGATCATGACCTGAGCTGAAGGCAGACACTTAACGACTAAGCCACTCAGGCGCCCCTCTAGAGGATTTTTTTTAAGAAGTAGTAGATTTGGGGGTACCTGGGGTGGCTCAGTTGGTTAAGCATCTGACTCTTGGTTTCAGCTCATGTCACAATCTCGTGGTTCCGGTGATCAAGTCCTACATTGGGCTCTGTGCTCAGCAAGGAGTCTGCTTGAAGATTCTTCTCCCTCTTACCCTCTCCACCTAAAACTAATAAATCTTAAAAAAAAAAAAAAGTCATAGTAGTTCTGGGGGCACCTGGCTGACTTGGTCAGAAGAGCATGCAACTCTTGATCTTGGGTTGTGAGTTCGAGCCCCACATTGGGTGTAGAGATTACTTTACCAAAAAAAAGTAGTAGTGGTAGATCTGAAAAGCTGGATTTTATGGGCAGAATGTTTTTAACTTAAGTACCATATACTTTGCATTCATCCATTTCAGATGGATAGAGATCTCATGGTAGGAAAGCTGGACAGAGGCCTGTATACTCAGCAGAAAGTGGAGATACTAACAGCTCTCAGGAAACTTGGAGAGAAGGTACCTGTATTTAATTTACTATAACAGGGATAAAGAAAAGGTATAAAGTATTTGGTACAGAACTTCTTGATCTGTGATCCACTTTGTAGTCCTGAGACATTCTTAATGGTGTTTCTTAGAACCACTTCTTAACATCGGAATCCACTCCCTTGGGCTTTGTTTTGTTTTGTTTAGCTGACTGCAGATGATGAGGCCTTCTTGTCAGCAAATGCAGGTGCTATACTCAGCCAGTTTGAAAAAGTCTCTACAGACCTCGGTGAGTACCCTCGTATTTCTGAAAGCTGAGCATGCATTACTGCTCCAGATTACTGGATACCATGGGTAAGATAACAGGATGGCCTTTTCTTGAGTTTAAAGGTAAAACCAGATTTCTTTATAAATCCCTCTTACTGGGTTTATTTCCTAATACTTTTTACTTAAAAATAGTTAAATTAATATAACTTAATATTTTAAAAATACTTGTCAACTAAAAGTAAACTAAAATTTTATATATTCTATTTCGCATTTAAAGGTAGAGTAAGGTTTTGTAAGCAATAAATCACCCCGTGTATGTCAGATGTTTGTGCAGGGAAAAGAAAATTGGGAATTGGCACTGGGCAGGTTTGGGGTAATGCTCTGATAATAGAAGCTCATTTTATTTTCTATTTCAGTATCTATGGGATAGATTTTCCCCTTGTTATCTGGAACTGTAAATGCATTTGAAATAACCTTTTGTTTATTATGTGTCTTTCTCCTTAGGCTCCGGAGACAAAGTTCTGGCATTGGCAAGTTTTGAGGTTGAAAAAACAAAAAAATGACATGGTGTGGAGGCTTGGAACATTGGTCACATTCTTGCTATAAATGGCGTTTGTCTTCTAGGGATTTTGAATCATTGCAGAGCAATCAAGAGATTCTTGAAATGCATTGATAACCTAAGAAAAGGTGACAGAAAAACATACTTGTGGCTTCTGGTTATACCCTTCATCATTGTGCTTTGTGTAGGGCTCCTGCCTGAGTCATCCTAGACTTGTTGGGATGAGGGACCCATTGGACCTTATTCATTATGTCTTGTGTGTTTGAGAGAGAGAACAGAAAAGTTTCTCTGCCTGTTTTTTTTAAGCCTCCTTGTTTTTAAGTGCTGATAGTAAATGAAAAGATGTGAACTAATGATTCTTTTCTGTTCATAATTTATCCCCATTTATTGGAGTGAATAGTGTACCAACATCAATAGACCTCATGTGTGTTCATAGAATTTTAGAGTTCTAAGTGATCTTAGAAATCATTTTCATTTTATAAACAAGGAAACTGAGGCTCAGAAAGAGCAAGTTGACTTGCTTAACGTCACATCCAAGACAGAGCTGGTGATAAGACTTGGGTGTCCTGACTCTCAACTTTGTGTCCATTGAGTTTTATTTCTGTATTTTGTGCTGTTTTTAAAAACTAATTAAGACATATTTGGGCAAGTTTGTGTTTATGAAAAATTCGGTGTCCCAACAGAACATTGTCACTAAGGGACCGTTCCTCAGCCTGTAAGGCCTCCGTATGAATGGGGCCCATTGTATCTCTGAGTTTTGAGCTTGGAACAATGGGAGCCCTGTTGAGAGTCTCCTGGAGTAACTTAACCTCCTGCCATTGTTCCACCAGGGAGGCAATTGAAAGTGGCAGCTGGAGGCCCTCCCTGTGTGTGACCTCTTTGCTGAAACCCAGAGGGTGGTGACTGTAAACTATTATTTACTCTTCAGTTTTTGGAGAAACACAAAATAAGTTATGAGGAAAAGCATACTCTTGAGTGTTTATGTTTCTCTGCATGCTTAAATATATAGATTTCCCCATGCAGGTGTATGTTAGCTTATATTCTAGGCTCTGGCCACTTTATATTTTTTCATGTATTTCTCAGTTTTCTTTTTCTTTGCACTTTATACAAATTAAAAACATTTTTAAAGCTTCTTGTATACTGTAAACTCTACTAGGTGCTCTGCCAACTGGACAAATTAGGGACCTCAGCTTCATTAATGCCTTATTTGGAACTTTTAATGGGTAACTTTTTATATATGGGTTTACGATGGTCAAAAACTCATTGAAATTGTGACAAATCAAGAAGAAGCAAATGACCTGCTATTCATCTAGGACTTTATGGTCAATCATCATTTCATTATTCTGCTTTTTGCTTGTTTGTTTTATTAAGTAATCTCTACACCCAACGTGGAGCTTGAACTCATGATCCTGAGATGAAGAGTCGCACGCTCCAACTGACTGAGCCCTCCAGGCACCCCTATTCTATATATTTTTTTCAATCAAGGTGAAACTCTCATAACATGAAATTCACCATTTTAAAGTGTACAATTCAGGGTGTTTAATACATTCAAAATGTTGTGCAATCATCACCATCTTGTTCCAAAACATTTTCACCCCCCCCCCAAAGGAGACCCCGTGCCCATTAGGCAGTCACTCCATGCCCTCCTCTTTATCCCAGCAACCACTAATCTGCTTTCTGTCTCTATCTCTGGGTTTATCTGTTCTGGATATTTCATATCAATGGCGTCATACCGTATGTGACCTTTTGTGTCTGGCTTCTTTCACTTAGCATCATATTTTCAAGGTTAATCTAAGTTGTAGCACATACCAGTACTTCATATCTTTTAATGGCTGAAAATACTTCCTTGCATGGATACCACATTGTGCTTATCCACTTATCTCTTGAACATTTGGTTTTTTCCACTTTTTGGCTATTGCAAATAGTACTGCTATGAACATTTGTGTAAGTTTGTTTAAATACCTGTTTTCAGCTCTTTTGGGTATATACCTATGAATGGAATTGCTGTCTGTATGTGTATTTTTGGGTATTTTTCGTTTTGTTTTTTAAGCCATAACAAGATTCCCCCTTCCCCTCCAGTAGTAGGATAAGGAAAATTAGGAATATTTGGTATTTGAAAGGGGCCTAGATGAATCCCGAGTCCTTAATTTTGGTTTCTCTTACACTTTTTCTAAGACTAACATCAGTGAAATATTTTGTCATTAATCTCATTAGTGTATTCATTTTGTAAGCAATGACTAGTACTCAACTTAAAATTAATCTTCCTTTAAAAGTTGCAAAGTTTTCAGTGCCTAGCAATACACTGTCATTTATGGCCATGTGACCTTTGGTAGGTTATTTAATCTTTTTGAGTCTCATTTTCCTCTTCTGTTCAATGGGGATAAGTGGGTAGGACCTACCTACTACATAGGATTACTGTGGATTCCCCTCTTTTCCTTAATGCAGAAAGGTTTGCATTGGAGCTAATCTACCATTTAACAATTCTTTCAAGGGCCATATGATATGTTTTGTTACACAGATTTGGTATAATTTAGAAAAATAAATTGGAAAGTGAATAATTTGAAAATTCTGTACAATTATAGTTATTAAATGATGTGCAAACTAGATTTCCTGTTCATATTTTACTATATTTAATCTTCTGGTTTTTTGAACTTCTTGGGAGGTTTCAGACTGCAATAATTAATGCCAAGGCAGCTAACTTTTTGATATACTTAGGTCAAGCTAATAATGAGAAGAATTCCTGCATTTTTCAAAGAACTGGGGTTGAAGCAGAAGTAAATTCCAACAAGCAAGCATACAACCGGGCTGTTGAATAAAAGTTAATAATTTAAAACACTTCCTAGGGGCACCTGGCTGGCTCAGTCTGTAGAGTGTGTGACTCTTGATCTCGGATTTGTAAGTTCAAGTCCCACATTGGGTATATACATTACTTAAAAATAAAGTCTTTAAAAAAATAAAAAAAAACAACAATTTCTATGTTTCAGAGCTTTGTTTTTTCCTGTGAGCGGTGAGATAGGTATGCTAGGTGGGTGGTACAGGAAGAAACCCAGCAGTAGAATGAGCTGTTCCCAGGGAAGAGTTGGAGTTGAGACAGAGATTGTTAACTTTGATTGTTAGGCGCTTTTTTGAAGACAACTCAGCCAAAGAATGGTCATCTTAGCCAAAATAAAAGACTATACAAATCCACCATTGGATGGTATCTGATTACAGTGAATGATGGATAGTTTGAAATTATTACAGAAAAAATAAACCCAGACCATTTTGCCTAGCGCTTTTCAGCCACTTTCCTGGTTTGTTTTTTGTTGTTGTTGTTGTTTTTGCCCTTACTCTATTCATTACTAAGGCCAAAGAATGCTCTTCTTTGCCTCTCAAAATGTTTTTCAGCATTAATATGTAAATTAAAACTGTCAGCATTCCCACAGACCCCCATGAACAAGCCGTAATTGCTTCCAGTCTGTTTGGCCCTGGAATTAAAAAGATTTAGAAACTGGGTTAACTGGTATTTAATATTTTCATTAAATTGCTAAAAGCAGGTTAAAAATACGGTTCTTCTAGCTATTCCCCTAGAGTGTGGCCTTTTGACATCCTAATTCACTTTGTTTTGAAGTCCCTCTCCCCGCCATACTGACAGCGGAGCTGGGAGACTAAGCTGCTGAAAGCCGCCCGCACCAGGCTCACCGCATGGCTGCACGCTGTCTGCCATCCATGCAGAGGACCAGGGAAGTTAGGTTTGAGGCTGTCCGTTGGAAGCCTCATAGTTAGTGCTTGGTGGTTTTCCTTTTGAAAAGACCACATTCCTTATGGCCTCAGACAATGGACTGCAATTAAAAATAAGTAAACAAAATTATTTTCTGTAAAGAAGGTGAAGGAGAGTCACCAGTTTTGTGTTTTTTGAGGTTTTGTTGTTTTGGTTTGGTTTGGTTTTTTGAGTAAAGAGTAAGATTAGGTAAGGGTTTTTTCTAAGATAATGCACCAGCCTCTGCCCCCAATTTCTGGCCACTTTGGGAATTTTGGAAGCCTTCCCACAAGAACCTGTGACTTTGTGTTACAGTCATAATTTTAATACATGATTTAAGGGCTTAGGTTATCTTGATTATGTATGTTTAAAATGTCTGAGTAGGTCAGGTACTATTCTTTGTTACCACTAAATTGTCATGTGGGGCTGTTCTTTCCTATAAGAGGAGTTTAAGGATTTTTTTTTTTTGCTTGTGTGAAAACCTTGTTCTTTCAGGCCTGGCATCACTCCTCCAACACTCATAAACCAGACCAAGTTGAAACTGAGGCTGTTACCTGCAGTGGTAATCAAAGAGGTAGGTAATTAGGTAAAAGCAAGCATTTGGCCTAGATTAGATTATAACTGATTGCCTTAACCCTGTGATTTGACCATGATCTTAGAAAATGTGGTACTTTTACTACTTCATGTATTTAAAAGGAAAAGAAAGAAACTTTCTTATCACAAGTTTTACATCAAATTTAATCTAGGTTTTGGTAAATTATAACTTAGATTTGGTTTATAAAGCTCTGAGCTTATACTCAAATATTTTATGTCATATTTATTCAGGAAAGGAGCATTTGTACTTTATGAGCAAACATGTAAAATCTCAGTCCCTTAGCCTTAGTCTTATGGCATTTCTTTTCATCCTGTCTTCTGGGAGTTTGAGTAGTTTGTTCCTCTGCAAGAAAATACCATGAGCAAGACTGTATAAAGGAATACATATAGACCTACCAAATCTACTTTCCAGTCTCAGAAGAATGCGGACTCTGTCTTTAACTTGTGAACTTGGAGGAGAAATGAGGGAATTGAGCACGCGCGTTCTTGTTCATGTGCCTGCCTCTCTTCTGGGAGTCTGACTGTAAAAGTGGCTTGTCTGCTCCCATCAGGCACTCAGGACCTCCCACAGTGCTGTTCTTGCCAGAGTGGGAGGTTGACTGTGCCAGGTTAATTCTATTACAATCCAAGCACTGGGCAAATGGTGTACTCTAGGCCCTTTTGGTTTGAAAAACTCAAAATGTGCTTTTCCCTGGTGAGGATTAGGTCTTGAGATTGGAGAGAAGAAACCATGTTTTGAAAAAAATTTTTTTTTAAAGATTTTATTTATTTATGAGAGAGAGAATGAGAGACAGCATGAGAGGGAAGAGGGTCAGAGGGAGAAGCAGACTCCCTGCTGAGCAGGGAGCCCGATGTGGGACTCGATCCCGGGACTCCAGGATCCTGACCTGAGCCGAAGGCAGTGGCTTAACCAACTGAGCCACCCAGGCGCCCTGTTTTGAAAAATCTTAACAGTAATTACTATGTGGGAGCAAGGACAGTTTCTCTCGGCTACCTCTTCTGACTATGATGTCATTTCTTCTTTCCTCAGACGTTGTCTTTTTCTTAAAGATTTTAATTTATTTATTTGTCAGAAACAGGCGGAGAGTGTGCACAAGCAGGGGGAGCGGCAGGCAGAGGGAGAAGCAGGCTCCCCGCCGAGCAAGGAGCCCGATGTAGGACTTGATCCCAGGACCCTGGGATCATGACCTGAGCCAAAGGCAGACGCTTAACCGACTGAGCCACCCAGGCGTCCCTCCTCAGACATTTTCTGAGCGCTGATATATGCCGGACACATTGCTTGGGTCTCTTTTGTTAAATTTCCTTCCTTCCTTCCTTCCTTCCTTCCTTCCTTCCTTCCTTCCTTCCTTCCTTCCTTCCTTCCTTCC